CCAAGTAGGTTATAGAAAAAGTAATTTATCAAGCTAATTTTTTTAGAATTGAACGACGTTATCGTTCAATTCCCATTTCTCAATTTTTACTTAATTTTTGGGAAAAATAACAACGTCGTGGGCATTATAGCATCTAAGAAATGATTTGAAGATCGTTAGCTAAGAATATTTTCAATCTCTACTTACTTCAACTTCATCTTTCTTCCAAATGACGATTGTCATTTCCTTTCAGGCAAGTGGACACTAAGAAAGTCCATCCAAATCCACTCAATTACTATTATAGCCTTTCTATAGCAGAAGGAATAGAGAAGATAATTTGAGAATTCATGATTCAGTTCGATATAAATTGAAAGATTTATCTATCTCGAACAACTCGAAAATAATTATGTTTTGAATAATAAAATACTAACAAATTTGTAAATAATAATCGTTACTATACATAAAATTTTTCATTATTAAGCATAAGAAGTGTCCTATACCCATGAACTAATTAAATTATAAAGTTGTGATCTTTATAGGAGACTGAAGATTACTAATATGTTAAAGTAAGAAATTACACACATAGCAAAATCATAATAACTTACTTACTGACTGTGTTGCACGAACGAATAAACCGATCATGATCAATGCTTCCTGAAGCATCTTGACAAAAACGTTTCAACAATTAAGCCAAAATCTCCAATTCTGAATTATTTATCCCAATAGTTGCCAGTGCAAAATTAAATCCTGTAAAATATTTTATAAAATAATTTAATTCTATAGGTTTAATGAGAGTAATTTAAAGTATTGAGACAAATGGAAATGCCATTCCAGAATGATCGATTTGCATGTGTGTATTATGTATACGCAAATATTGTTGCCAATTGCAATTAAAAAGTACAATTTTGTTCAAAACAATTAAAAAAGAAGAAAAAAAAGCGAAGAGAAATGATTAAAAAAGAGTTGAAATTAGAAGTAACAATAAATCGTTATCACATAAGCAAATGTTATTTGAACTGATAAATCATATAAGAAATGGAAGATAATAAATCAGTGATTAAATGTTTGCTTGTCAACAGGGATAAGTTGAGAACTCTTAGTCGACAATATGAAATATCTATGCAAGACACAACATTTCGTTTCGCTTACAAATGCAAGCATATGAATGTGTTTATATACATTATATATATATATGTTCGTGCACATGTGTGTATGTATGTGTGTGTATGTGTATGTGTGTGTGTATGTGTG